TTAATTTTTTTTTTAATTTTTTCATATTAAACAATTTAGTGAATAACCTTTAAGTTAATTATTTTTAATTTTCAAAACTAATTAGGCATTTAATAAAAAAAGTAAAAGTAATTATTTAATAATTAATTTAAACCGTATTATTGGAAAAGAGTAATACTTAATTTTTTAGTACATTGTTTAGTTAATTAGCATTTTCAATATTTACATCGCTGAAAACATAAAATAAATTAGAATAGAAATTTCAAAAAAGAATATTTACCATATTTATCGAAAGGATGAAGCATATATTAAAACAAAATTGGAAAAATTTAGTTATGTATCACGCTAACTTCTACCTTCTTAATTAAATGTTTCTTATCTTGAAACATCCTAAAGGATTTCATGGTCAACGAGGAGACCTAGCAACTGAACTCTATCTGGTATCGCTAAGGATCAAAACTGGTCTATGGGTGGCTTAATGGCCTCAGATTAACCTAATCTAAAAGTTTTAGAGAACATTTTTCGCCTACGTGATAAAAGAGACACAAAACTTGGTTAACATTCTTGGATATCTATCGTCTATAGAACAAATGTAGAACTTATTAGGTGAAGGGCGATAAAAATGTGTATATCCGGTACTCGATATGCTAAGGCAATGAAACAAATTTTCTAAATATTGGCCAACTATTTTCTCGCACGTGCTGGTAAAAAAGCAAGAGTGAACGTTTTAGAAAAATATCCGATACATTCTGTTTGTTGTGCTCTGAATTGGCATTTTTATACAATTATAAATCTTATCTGATTGTAAATTTATATACAWACATACATTTAATGAAGTTTGTTTAAAATACCTGGTTAAATTGTGGTGCATTTAGAATGCAAAAATGACAGTTAGGACTTGTAGCTTACCTAAAAAGATAAAAAAGAAAAGAATRTAATTAAAAAATATGAAAAAAAATTATTTAAGAAAAAACTAGTTAATATGAAAATTAATTAAAAAGTTAATATGAACAATTTTTTGTTTTATTAAAATAAAGTAATAACGTATTCAGGGGGTTACGGCCGTTTTTTAAAGATTTCTTTCAGCATTTTTTAGAGCCAATGATCAGTTCAAATTATACAATACAACGCAAAAGCAAACACGAGCTTTCGAGCAAAAAAGTTGATATTTAAAAAAAAAAAAAAAGTTGAAATTTAGTGACGCAATTAGAGTGACTATTGTTTCTCATCTTATTATTTACTCTTTGAAGTTTAAGAATATTGAACTTGACGTCATAGGTTGTTTATATATGTATGTACTTTGTACAGCCAACAGCTGACTGACGTTATACTTAACTCTAACGCTATGAGAGTTGGAGAGTAATATTTTTGTTTTGCCGTTTTTGCGATTGGAAAGTAATACTCATAACACAAATATAACTTCGAGTGAGATTATTATTTGTCAAGACACTTTGATTGCATAAGACTTAGGTAAAACTCACCGCATAACTCACAGAATAAAGAGCAATAAATAATTGTTATCAAATAACTATTATTTTGTAAGCAAAAAATTAAAATATAAAGATTATTTTGTGAAGAATAAATGAAATGAAATTCTAAAAGTTTTTGACATATTTGAGAAGTCAAAAAAATAAAATCTTATATTTCTGCATCACATAGTATATCAGACCTTTCGCTTCTTAATAATTTTTTTAGTCAAAAATTTTGCAATAACTGTCAAACGTCAGTTAAAAGCTGCGGAAACGTGTCGTATTAATTAGTCAAACTTGCTCACACACATATATATAAGTATATCAAATACCCATATCAATAAAACGTTTAAGTTAAAAAGAGGCGTGATATCATTTGCACCTAAAATCAACACAATTAATTTGAACAACTTTTTGGGTGATTTTTTTTTTTTTTTTTGTTGACACTACGTAAGACAGATCGTTCGATTAAATAACAAGTACAGTTTTGAGTGCATTATTTTTGTGAGTTTGCTTACTGCGTGAGAGTTTGATAAATTGCAAAATCACTTAAAGCTGATTTAATGATGGGCGACAAATCGCATCTACAGAAATGCAAAAGATTCCACACAAAAACTTTCTCACGAGTTTTCGAGACAAAGATTCTGGGACAAAGATTGGCAACGGCGAATACAGCATTCGATGGAACGMTGMGCWGTACGAGTTATACGACGACATTGACGTAGTTTAGTGAATTAAGTGACATCGGCTAGGCTGGTTAGATCATGTCGCCCATACGGATGAAAACGTTCCATCTCTGAAAGTATTCGACGCAGTGCCTGCCGGTGAAAACAGAGRAAGACCCCCACTCCGTTGGAGAGATCAGGTGGAAAGGGACCAGGCTACATTTGGTATCTCGAATTGGCACCAAACTGGGCAAAGTAGAAACGATTGGCGCGCTAGCTTGGCGATAACCACGTAAGCGGTGTCTACGCCAGTATAGAAGAAGAAGATGGTGGGTAGATCGATAACTCAAAAACGGTGGGACTACTTCGACTATATACCGACGGACTATATACAGACGGACAGCCAGATGTACATGGCTAAACCACCTCAGCTAATCACGCTGTTCAATTATACCATATATTATACAGTATCCGACAAAACTATGTATACCCCAGCACATTTTATATTGTTCATGGAATATTTTTTTCAAAAGTTCAACAATTAAAAATTTGTACATACGGGAAGTGCACACTATAAGTTGACAAATAATAACGGTATGATATTTACCGTTAGCTTTTGTTTTGCTTGCAGAATGTGCACTTGTTGATGATCAGTTGAACTTTGCAGGCGACAAAGTTATGTATACCGTGGCAATATTTGTGCGTAGTGCTTCTTTGCGTAAATAGTTTTGTAAATATTTAGAAATAAACGCGACAAAGGTAAAATTTCGTGATTTTATACTCGATAAAAGTGTTTGGGTAAATAATTTAAAGATTTTATTTAGTGAATTGCCAAGATCTGCAGAAATAAGCGTTGACCTGAGGAAATTGATTGTTCATGATCATTTAGATGGAATGGGATACGGAAAAATTGCAAACAAATATTCTAAAAGCAAGGCCACAATCCAAAAAGTGATAAAAAATCACCAAAARAATGGTGGGCTAGAGAGTGCTCCAAGATCAGGCCGCCCTAGAGTAACTACAGTGCGCGAACAGACAAAAATAGTGAGAGAAGTGAAAAAAGATCCGACTGTATCAGCCCAATTTATTAAACAGAGCCTTCAAATAGATGTTTCCGAGCGAACAATTCAACGAAGAATTCGAGAAGACGGGTATTCCAGCCACTGCAAGATTAAAAAACCGTTCATCATAAGAATACTAAAGGACGACAAAAAGTTTGGCGAAAGAGCCACGAGAAGCTTCAGAGTAAATGCATTCAAAGCACCATAAAGTTTGGAGGCAGAAATGTATTGATTTGGGGTTGTTTTAGCTAAAGTGGTCTCTCAAATCTCGTAATGATCGAAGGTAAAATGACGGGAGAGTCTTATGTTCAAATGTTAAGTACCAATTTGGAGCCAGCTACGCAAAAAATGGGCATACAGGATAACTTCATATACCAGCAGGACAACGACCCCAAGCATACAAGTCGGGTTGCAAAAGAATACTTCGAACAAAAATAGGTAAAAGTCCTACCATGGCCTGCCCA